GTCGTGGTAGCAACATGCTATGTGTTTACATCCATCGCTGCCATGTTTGTAATGACTTATTACGAGAACAAACGTATTCACGTGACTTTAATAACATTTCTTAATTAATGGAAACACTGAAGTTGTGAAACTGTGTTTTTTCGACATTAACAGAATATCTACAAAAGTTTTGAGCACATTTGTAATGGAAACACAGCTTCTGACTATATGCATGTAAATGCTCATACACATTACTGATTACTCAAGATGCCACAGACACACACAAGTGCACAGTAATACCACACATACACACAGTATATTCTATATATAAAACATGATCAACCCTGTTTCAGCAGACTAAAATAAAGAACTCAATTTTGAGTTTAAATCAGGTTTTTAAGATGAGCCCACCTCTGAAGACCAAAGTAGCATCACACAGACAGAAAAGACAAACAAACCAGTAAAGCAGTCTACAAAGTAAGAAGAGCAGTAACACACAGATTAGACACAGCATTATTTCTGACCCAGTGTGAACTGTGTAAAGCAGCACGATGAGCTGCTGGGATAATGAGGAATCATGTGATCTCATAAGTGCCTCAGTTTGAGATGTTTATCATCTGTTCAGACTAACTGAGCACTGTGTGTAGTTTTTTATACTCTGAGTCGTTTTGTAATCTGTCTAATGAAACAATGCACACTGAATTAACCTAGCTATTCCAGCAGATGTTGACAGCAACACTGCTTGCTTCATCCTAACACGTGGCTGCTGTGTGGACATGTTTTGGTGCAGTGCATTAAAGAAAGACCCACATTCCACTGCACACGCCCACACTAGCCTCTAAGAAATGTGTAACTATTATACTGGTACACACTGTCTTATAAAGACGAACACACCCCGACAGCTCTGATTCTTAGAATATGAAACAAACACAGGAACTTTTCAGCTTCCAGGTAAGGAACGTGGCTCCAAGCTACACTAAAGCTAAATTAAAGGCATAAATTCCCTGAAGGAACAAGTATCTGCTGACACCCAACATGTTACAACTTTAGACTAAAACCATCTCAGGTGGAGAAAGGATCAATCAGAGTTGTAGAGATGTTGGTCAAACCTTAAAAAAACACTGATTTAATTATGGTCGGTTTGCTTTGGTGGCAATCTTATACTGTGTTGAACCATTTCTCCTAACATAATCCAAGAGAGCATCACCTCCACACACACACACACACACACACACACACACACACACACACACACACACACACTTCTATTTGCATTAAACTGAGGACATTGTATTGACTTCTATTCATTTTTCTAACAGTATTTATGCCTAACCCGACATTTTCCCTAAAACTAACCATTACTGGTCTATAGTTAACCCTAACCTGAACTTAATTCACATCATACCTCTAAACATAACTAGTAAAATTAACCATTACTGGTCTATAGTTGATTTGATTTATTTATTTAACAGAAAAAGATTATTAAAAATCAAGCCTGACTCAGCATAATTGCTGTTTTACAACAGGTTCCTGT